AAAAAAAGAAAAAAATGGGGGGGGGGGGGGGAATTAAGCAGCCTAACTGTTTTCAACATTGATAAAATTAAGTTTTTTTCACATCGAATTAGTATACTTAACAATATATTAATCTAAATTATATAAACCGAGGACAGTTATTTTAAACTGTAATAATATTTAGTGATATTACTGTCTATACTGCATTTTTTTTTTTCTTCAAATAAATGCAGACTGTGAGAATAAGAGACTTCGAAACATTAAACAGACTTAGCTGGCTTGAGCAATAAAGTTTCTTGAGGTTTACCCTGGAAATAATTTTTATTACTTTATTATTTACTGAATGGCCAAAAGATTCAGTAAGAGAAGTATGCATTGGTCAAAAATCCAGAAAACATACTAATCCCAAACTGGTATTTTTGAATGATAGTCTATGCATAGTTGAAATAAGTGTTACTTAATTCCTTGAAACAAGCAGGTATTTAGGTTTAGTTTTTTTTTGTTTTTTTGAAAAACTAAAAATAAGGTGCAGTTTATAGTGTTTTTTTCCTCTCTGACAGTACAGCCACTTTTTATTTGGATAATAAACCAATGTCCAAATCAAGATCCTTGTAGGGTTGTCTTAGGGCAGGGTGTCAAACTCAATTCCTTGAGGGCCGGAGCTCTGCAGAGTTTAGATTCATCCCTAATTAAACACACCTGATCCAACTGATCAGGTCCTTCAGGCTTATTTGAAAACTACATGGTATGTGTGTTGGAGCAGGGTTGGAATAATGCTGCGTTCAAGTCCTCCTGGGACGTTCGTACTTACAAGTTAACAAGTCGTAATTACGACGTCAGGTGCGTTCAAGTCAGTTTAGTCGGCACAAGATGTTTATCAAATCTTTTTGCAAATTTTATCTGAATAACTGAATTTTTGGGCTATTTGTATTCTTTATGGTGACATTTTGGAGGTGGAATCCCCACAGATTTTTGACTTGGCACAACAGTAGCAAAAGCCATCAAATTAGAAATGTATTGATTGCATTTGAAGCAGGACATTTTACATCAATCACAGTATGATAACAAATAATTCAGACAATGAACTGGCAATTTAGTAACATCCCCCGCCTTGAAATAAAATTCTGAGTGCAGTCTGAGACTAATGCTGCGTTCAAGTCCTCCTGGGACGTTCGTACTTACAAGTTAACAAGTCGTAATTACGACGTCAGGTGCGTTCAAGTCAGTTTAGTCGGCACAAGATGGCGGTGTACCTTCTTTTAATAAATTACAAGAAAATACAACAGGTTTTGCATTTTTAATATTTTAAAAAAGTAATTTATGAAGCTACTTTAATCTGTATCGCATAAAAACTTCATAAAAACTATCAATTTAAACAAACATTTGTTTTTCATTGACCGGCATGTTTCTCATTGACACGCCCCCAACTCGGAAACTCGGGGCTTAAAGAAAATTTTGAGTTTCCCACTCGTAATAACGACTTTGTGGTGGCGTTCATGTACGTTCAAAGGCCCTGTCCACACGAACGTGGTTATTTTTTAAAACCGCAGATTTTTCTATGCGGTTAGGCCGTTCGTCCACACGCAAACGCAGCACCAGTTCACTGAAACCGAACATTTTTGAAAACGCCTGCCAGGGTGAAGATTTTCAAAAACTCGGTTGCAGTGTAATCGTAGACAGGGAAACCGGAGTTTTTGGCTTGGGACTTCGGCGCCAGCGCTGTTATCTCCGCCTACTGGAGACTTTTTCAGGCTTCTGATTGGCCAACATGGCTTTACGGTTGAGATTATATCGCCACCTGTTGGTTTGGCATGCTCTTGACAGTGCTTCATAGCATGCGTTTGCGTTTTCATGTGGACGGAGGTTTTTTTTAAAACGGAAGAAGGAAAAACTCAGTTTATAAAAATACGTGTGGACATGGCCTAAAAACTCTGCAGGGCTTCGGACCTTCAGGAATTGAGTTTGACACCCATGTCTGAATAGAAAGGATTTAGATAAGTAATGTTTATCGGTTTGTAGGGTGTGACTAATGTTTGGAGTTTCTATGCACTTAAATAATTGATCCCTCCTTTCTTGAGTAATCTATTGTTCTCCAGCAGCTGGTTTGGTTTCAGTCTTATCTCCATGGAGACTAATAACACAGAACTTAACACTTTCCATCCTTATTCCTCAAACACACTAATTAATTGCGCTTATCTGAGTGGCGGCTGTAATACTTAAGCCTTTTTTTTTAATGCGGATCCCTTCATGTTTTTAGGGGCTATAAAAAGTCTGAATATACATCAACCTCCAGGAAATAAAGATGCTTTGGTGTTGACCTTAACTGTGTACTTTGAAACTTGCTAGCTGCTTCTAAATGTTTTCATAATCAGTGCGTCAGTCATTTATGAAAACCACTGCTTATATGGCACCCAAGCAATTCCAGTATCTGTACACTGAGACTATGCAAATGAATGTAGGCCTATCCTCTAGAATCTCACAGTTTTACTGCTTAACAGCCGCTCTGACTCAAATAATAAAGCTGTCCTGCGGTATCATCTTCCTCTTACGTGAAAAGTCCAAAAGGCACATGTCATGCGCAGTTAATGGATAGGGGAATTTTTTTTTGTTTTTGTTTTTTTGAGAAGATGCACAGCATTTCAGATTTCATGTGTCAAATGTCTCAAGCCACTAAGAAGCTCTTGATTTTGAAGTACTTGTCTAACTCATGATTTGTTCCTGACTTTGTTGCAATTCAGCTCATTGGAAACTTCCAATGAGTCAAGCTCTCGGACTGCTAATGAAGTCTCTTCACAGCCCTCTGTGGTTGATGGTGATAATCGGCCCATGATGGAGCAAAGTCTAGGGGCCATAAAGAGATGAACATAGGGACATTTCCTTGTTGCTGTCACACAAGCGAATGGAAAAATTACGTTTGGACACGTATGTTTTTAATTCCTTCTTGGAATTAGTCAGTGAAATTTAGTGAAAAGTTTCATACAAGGCATAGTTTTCAGCTGTACACGCTTCAATGAGAGTTACATTTCCAACTGGTTAATATATTTATTTGCTTGTCTTGTGGGGGTTTTAATGTCAATTAGATGCCAGTGGTACAAAAGGGACTGTTCAAATGGTGATGTTAAAAAAGGTGTGTATTCATTTATTTACTTCTTATTTGCTTTCTTGCCCTAAGCAATATGTTATTGTTCTGAAATTGTGATATTTGAGCTGGTTGTGAATAGTGTTTGGTTTTAAAATGTAGTTAATGTGAATCTGAATAGGGGGATCACTTCTGGATTGACTCCAGTATTGGGGTCCCTATTGGAGGGTATGTGAAGGTCTCAGCCATTGGACAGTGTTGCCTGATTGATGATGAAGGGAAGGTAAAAGCCATGACTCGCGATGACTTGTACAGTAGGAGAGACCGGTGCTAACTGTCACAAGGGCTTTTATTTGTAAGGGTTTGAGTCTAAAATCTAGTTACACAAAATGAGTTTTCGCTAGCTACATGCAGTAGGTCTATATATAGTTCAAAACCATCGTACATTTTTTATTTTGAGAATTCTGTCCTTCAAACTAAAATTTCACTACATATTTTGTTGCTGATTTTGATTGCCCTTTTTAGAGTAAAAACATTTGTTCTTTTTTCTGTTTAGTCTTATAATTGTACTCTTTTTTGCTAATTGTTTATTTAATTTAAATATGATGCTAAATGTGCTATATAAATAAACTAAAATATTAATAAATAATTATCAATGAGTTAATAATGTAATATTATATTAAATATTAATCTTAATATTTTTTTTTTGTACAGAAAACCCCATAGGCTGTTTAATGACCCATATAGCCTTTTTTGCCAAGGCTTTAAGATATGTGTCTATACAGGAAATTACTTAAATAAATATACCCTTACAAATATGGCAGCGGCTATTTGCACTAAGTCTAAATAGCGATAGAGGCTATTTTACACTATAAGTGCAAATAGTGATGGATGCTATTTACACTAAGTGAAAATAGCAGTATTTTAACAATATGGTATTTACACTAAGTGCGGATAGCGATAGATTCTATTTACACTATGTTAAAATAGCAGGATTTTCTGTTATTTATATTACTTATTGCAAATAGTGGCAATTATCTGCACCTCAGTATTATAGTAGCTTACATTATAAAACAGTATGCAGTAATAACGTATTGAGTGTAAATTATAATTTTAATTCAAATTATTAAATGGATGCCACCTTATTGGGACAGTAAAGCCCTACCTACACCTACCCTAACCCTACCCGATACTTTATTTTCAAGTTTTTGATTATTTCCTTCAGTTTTATTGAAAATAAATGCCTTTCCGATGTGGTATGAGATATGAAAAGGGAGAAAAAAAAGTTCGGTAAAATGTGGATTCGGACCCGAGTCGATCGCGTCAAAAACACTATACGCGCTTTACCACCTACGGCACTGGAGCTGACGATTGTTTGCTGTCTTTTATAGTGTTGACCATACCCAGGGGCGTAGATTACGCGGGGAACGCGGGAGCCGGTGTGAATAAATATAGATTTAAATTCAAAGAGACAGGATAGTCTGTGCATGATCTGATGTTTTATTCAGACCCAGAATAAGGCGAGATGAACATCGCGGAGCGCTAAACACTCCGTGCAGTGTATGTTTCATTCATACTCGAAGCCGGAGGGCGCTCTCGCGCAGTCGTAGAGGAAATTCCTAATATGGACAAAAGCGTCCAGCTATCCTGTATGAAAACAGTTGTTTTCACAGAAAACAGAAACGTTTGGAAAAAGACATTAATTAAACATACGATTGCGACAATACACAATATATGGTTCATCTTCAGGTAATAAATAAAGTATATGAACAATGCAGTGCTAACTGACATAGCATTTATTACAGTATTGAAACTATTCTGCCTTATTATGTGATAAAAAAAAGTGTTTGCAGTATATAAGCAAATTTCAAAATTTTACTGTTTTGCTGTACTTTGGATCAAATAAATGAAGGCTTGGTGAACAGAAGAGACTTCTTTATAAAACATTATAAAACATTAACAATCTTACTGTTTGAAAAACATTTGACTGGTATGTAGATTACAGAAATGTTATACTGTAATGTTATATATATATATATATATATATATATATAAACCATTTCTGTCCCCCTCACTTCTGAAATGATGGCTACGCCCCTGACCATACCTATCACACGTTTGTGGGTGGAGCTAGTGTAAATAGCCTCTGCCAACAAGGCGGGTTATTTGCACTTAGTGTAAATAGACACTCCATACAAATATTCAGTGGAGTAAAAATGTGACAACTAGCCCTGCTCTCCCCTAATGATCTACAGTAATGGAATATTACATTACAACACATTCTATATCTATATTATTCTAGTGTTTTAATTAATCTACACTTGTTGGATGAATCTCATGTATTGTGATGGTTTCCCAGGAGCACTATATCCCAGAGGGGGAGAAGGCTATTCTTAAGCCTATGCACCCCACCTCAGTGGAGGGTGTGGATGACATGATCCGACTGGGGGACCTCAGTGAAGCCGGTTTACTCAGAAACCTGCTGATGCGCCACAGACAGAGCATTATATATGTAAGTTACTTTATTATGTCATAACAAAAATTCAGCCTCTATAATCATCAAATTAAATATGTTTTTCCTGATTAGTATTTGAGTTGTATTTCAAAATGATTGTAATAACAGTGAAATACGGTAAAACTCTTACAGAAAAAAAATGTTAATTGGTTAACCATAAGTATATGGTGAAAAACTGATATCTAATGGTACGTTTCATGTAATTTTACAGTAATACTGTTAAATGTACAGTTTTTGGAAGTGAAAAACCATATTCCCAGAATCCTTTGTGTGACAGCTCACATTTATAATATACACATTTACAAATTTTTTTTTAACTGTAAATTTAATTTTAATCTGTAAAACTTAAAATGTTTTTACCATATTTTTTAGAGTAAAGTTTTGGCAACCACAGCTGTTGTTTTTTTTTACTATAAACTTAATGGATGGTGTGATGTGTATTTAGTTGTACTTGAGATATATATGAACAGTGGGGCACAAAAGTCTGAGACCACTAGGGAAAATTCTTCTGATTTGCATTTTTTTAACTTAGTCCAGGTGATATGTGAAAATAATGTTCACTTTTTCATAAAAGCATGAAACTTGGTACACTTGTACAGCTTGCGGCCCTAAACATTTTCAGAAATGGAGCCATCGCAAAAACCCCTCGTGGTTGCCATGAAGACCATTTAACTTTCCGCCATAACCAAATTATGTATTTTGTGTCATAGCTCCTGAACCAAACATGATAACACAGAAAAGGTGATGTCTACCCCTATGTTTTGATGGTCAAGGATTACAATGATACCATATACAAAAGCATAAACTGTTCAGGTTAAGAGTTAATGGTGAAATCAGCAATGTGAGAAGGAAATCACAATATCTGAGAATAATAGTATCACAGCATTAACAAAAGTCCATATTATGGTTATTATTTTTTTCTTTCTTTGACAATGAACTAATATTTTATTCAATAATACATTAAAAGATTGTTTTCAAGAATACTATCATATATTTCAGAGATATAAAAATCATCTCTGGTAAGTGTATTTTTGTATTTTTCCAACTGAACAATCTGAATCAGTATTTAGGGTGTTTTCATGTGTAACAGAGACAATAGAGCCATTGAAGCGACAGAAGATCAAGTAAGTGTATTTTTCCTTACCTCTCAGGCAGAGTCAGGTAGGCGGTAGTATGTTTCCAGTACATTCTTGTTCTCTCTCAACAACGCTCTAACATCACATACAGATGGCAACGCAATCAGGTGAACAGTTAATGGTTAATTCAGTGGCTTTATGAGAAGGATTACAATGAATTCTCAGAAGATGCAGAATGCTGCCACTAATTGACAGCTGTGGTGATTATATTAAAGGGAGCACTCTTGCTTGCTTTCTGTATTTAATCTATTCACAATTTGAATACAAGTTTTAATAAATGTGTTGTAGCTTTAATGCAGGTGCGGTTCGGTGC